GCTGCACAGTTTTACACTACAGTACTAAAACTATTTCTAACCATTTCAGATTCAAGCAATCATGTCTTCTTTGGGTTTTCTGTAACTGACTGATTAAAAACAGTCTAAACCCCTTTCAAAGTAAAGAAGGATTATACATGTCTTCTGCCAAAGCTGAGACTGTCTTCCCTGTTCAGTCTGCTGACCAGTAACCTTATACACTGAATGTGTGATGTAAATAAGAGACCCTCTTTCAATGGAAGGGTGTGTATGCACTGAAAGAGACTTACGCTTTAATATTCACAGCACACGTTTCATTTTCATTAAATAAGATATGCAGAGCCATGCAGGCTGAAAAAAATGTCACTGTCTCTCACACTCATCAGGTCCATGATAGGACCCTTTATCATAGCGGCCAGACAAAAAAAAAAAAAGACAGATAAGAGAGCCAAAGCATGAGTCAGCTGCTTTTTAATAATACATAGTGGGCAATGTAAATTGAAAAGCACAGCAGCTGTTCTCGGAGTAACAACATCACGTCTTCCACTTTGCAGCAAGACACTACAAGGAAAGTATCCAGGTCCATGCTGAGCACACTCTTAAAAATAAAAGTCTTTATTGGCATTTGTGGTTCCACAAAGGACCTTTAACATCCAGTTCTTTATAGTGGAAAGATGTTCTTTAGATTATTCCAATGTTCTAAAAATTTTAGTTTTTTTAAGAACTCTTCACTGTTCTTTGAGGAACCCAAAATGATTATTTTATGGCATTGCCTTTATTTTTAAGAGTGCAGTAAAATATGACATTGATGAGTTTTAACAGACAAAAAACATGGCTTATTTGGATTTGGTAGTTTTAGCATCTAATTAAAGGACCAGGAAATACATTGCCATTTTTTTTAAGTATCCAAAAAATCAACTGTGTCATCATTTACTTAACTTCATCAAGGTTAGAAAACTGTATGATGTTCTTCCATGGAACATAAAAGGGGAAGTTAGGCACAGTGTCTTTACATTTCGGTTGAACTATTCCTTCAATGATTCAAATCATCTAGCAGTTTTGTTATGCTACACTAAATATAACGGTTTTCACAACGATACCAGTGAAGAACCATATAGTGAAAAACTCTTTGGGGTTCCCAAAGAACCTTTCAGTGAACAGTTCTTAAAAGAACTTGTTTCTTAATGTGAAGAACATTTTAATAATCTGAAGAACCTTTTTCCACTGTAAAGCACCTTTTGTACAATGTTTTGTTCCATGGAGGTTCTTCATGGAACCACAGATGCCAATAAAGAACCTTTATTTTTAAATGTGTAGGCCTAATGCAAACATGTCTGCTGGAGGGAACACCACAAAGCCAAATTAGAGGAGTTTTTCCCACATTAAGGGTACGTTTACACGACACTGACTGATGTACTAAAAACAGAAAGGTTTTTCCTTTCCGTTTTTTGCATATGGATGGACGACAACTTTGTCAAAACGATCCCCGTTCACACGGATCTGCGAAAATGACTAAAAATGCTGTATTATGGATGCCAGGCCAGTAGTTGGCGATGTCACTTTGTAAAGAAACACTACCCGCCTATAGACTGAACACGTAATACACATGCGCATGACATTTTCACAAATTGCCGTTTTTGTAGTTTACACAGAGTGGATAACGGTGTCGTTTTCAAAAACTTGCACTTTGAAACCCGTTTTCAAATGTTTGCGCTTTCAGGCGCCAAAAACACAGTTGTCACAAAATGAACAAACACAAATGAAAGTTTAGTTGAAAGCGGTGTGTCGTTTAAACGGCCCCTATAAGTCAAGGTGAAGGGCGCTCCAAGCCAATTCCCAAAAAATGCTAACATAGGACTTGCAGGAAGGCCAAATGAATTAAAGTGCTAGCTGAGAATGACTAATCACAACAGACACATGACCTCATCCCATAAAACAGAGTGGTGTTGTCATCTGTCACGAATTCCACTGATAAACACCACCAATCCACAGTGTGATCAAACACACACACAAAAAAAAACACTCTTTCTCACGGTTGAGGGGAACAACTGAGAGGAACAGAAACATGACCACAGAGCGTTGATCTTTTTTTTTTATAAGTGTCACAATAATGGTGGGGTCCTAGAGTTTCACAACAATTTCATGCATCAGATTAGTTTCAAGTGTGGATGCAAACAATAAGGGGAATAACACAAATGAAAATAAGCTTACAGGGTTATTTCATTGGAATCTCTTTCTCTCGTGTGTCTGTACTGTCTCGCCTACACACTAAAGCCCAACAGTTCAGTGAAAACACTTACAATGCATTCTTTGTACGCATTCAACCAGTGTGAAAAGTACCTTGTCTAACCTACTTTCTTATCTCTTTCCCCATTGACCAGTATGCAAAAATTTGGTTAGTGGGGAAAAAGCTTTTACTGTCTATGGGAAAAAGAGGGTTGTGAATACGGGGTCTTCTTGACCACCTTGTTAAAGTCACCATTAAATCAAAATGGACAATTCTAGCTTTTTTTAATGGAATATTTACATTTTTATTATAAATTATTTATCCATTCACATCATGTTTTTTTTTTAATTCATGTCCCCTATCTTTGATCAAAATAACTTCCCCTCCCTCTTGCAGCAACATCTCTTCTCTGACCTTTGTTGTGTTCTTCCGGTTTATATTTCCACAGCATGCCATGAAGGTAAGATTTTACGGATTTATGAATGAAAAGCTTGGGTTACACTTTATTTTAAGGTGTCATTGTTACAGTGTAATTATATATTTAAGTACTGTGTAAGATTAATTTCCAACATGTACTTATAGGGTTTGTGTAGGATTATGATTTGGTTGAGGGTTAGTGGGATGTAATTATGCATGATTAACTGTTATTACTACGGTAAGTAAGTACATGTAACATGTAACATGGACACTATCAAATAAAGTGTTACCAAAGCTTGTTTTAAAATCTGCCCGGTCTACTTACATTTGTTAAGGCATCAGCTTCAAACATTACAATGCTCATGATAACTTTCGTTAACTCTACAACAAGTAAATCCACTTAACTAGCTAATTACCCTTCGACAGCAATGCCATAGAAATATGCAGTGCAAAAACGGAAGTTTGAACACAAAATTCTAAAGATGGCGCATGGCGGCATACTTGTTCAAGGTGGCGCCATGACAGGTATGAAAGCTTGTGAGGGATATACTTGTTTTTAATGGCAACTGCTGTATAAAGCTCCTAGATAACTAATTTTCCACATCTCATATTGTCAGGAGTTTGACTACTGAAATTTATTGGTAATATATTTTTGCAGTGTTTGGACATGCAGCAGAACAATCTTAAAACATTAAATCATACCTGTCAACACTCCCGTTTTTCCCGGGTTTCTCCCGTTTTTTAGCCCTATCTCCCGGACCCCTCCCGGTTTGTTATTTCTCCCGGGAAACTCCCGTAATTTGCATGGCCCAAACTCCTTTATGAATAATCGGACCAATATGTTTGTCTAATGTTGACCAGTTGCCAGATTGTATTAAATGCATTATATTCACACAATCCACAGACCATTTACAATTTCAACCCGTTTGTCACCTCAACCTGGCAACCTATAACCCAGTTGCGCAGTCGCGGAAAGTTTAACCCGAAAGCGAGCCGATAGACATGATGGCAGGTGAAGGTGGTGTCCCCGCAATGAAACTGAAGTACAGTTTGTAACGCGTTGCTTCAGGAAGATTAGGGATAGCTCACAACTGAAGTTATTGCATGCAGAGGCCAGACAGACACACGGAGGCGATTGGCATCTCACAACTCGCACATTCCCAAATCTAACTCGTGTAGCCTAACTGTCTGTCACACGTTCTACTGTCCACATCGTTACTTAGTAAACAAAATAAGATAAAAATTAGCATCAAACAGAAATTACCCGCATACATGGGGTGTTCGCATTGACAGTAAAAGGGGTGTTCGAGGCCCAAGGCACATACAATACAATACTGCCGACAGTTCAACAGGGAGCGCATAGCTCTTAAAGGGGCCACACCTTATTTCCAGTCGTTACAAGTTGTACATACCCCCCCGGAGAAATCTCCCGGATTTTGAAAACCAAATGTTGACAGGTATGCATTAAATAGTTGTACAACACACTAAAGAGATGTATGTCATGTCACAGACACAGCCTCGCTTTCATTCCCGTTAAAAACCAAAGATGGCGCTGCTGACAAACTTCCAACGGTCCAATCAACTCCTGATTGACAAAATCAAGTTCATGTTTGTTTGTTTTTTTGTTTAAGAACCCATATGTCACAATAGGGGAAAAAATACCATTTCAACTTCCGTTTCATGTTGATTTAAGGCTTAAAAATTGTAAATAATAAAAAAACAAAGGTTGGATGGGGATGTATTATAGGCTAGTATGACCAAACACTATAATACAGTTAACTTTTTGAAGCAAAATTGTTTATGCAATAATTAGCGGTCTTTTACGGGTTCTTTCGTTTTTTGGTTTATGGCTAACCCTTTTCGTTTCGTGGGGTTTTACGACGTTTTGAACGCGCTTCCTGGGTGAACGATAGGATCTTTTCGCCTGCCACTGAATGTGCACGTATTTGTGGACGTTTAAAGATGGAAACCAATTGATGACACTATTCAAAACAAACCTGTTGAAACGCACAAGATATCGATCCAGAAGCGGTTTGGGTGTGATTGTGCAATCGGACCGAAACCAGCATCACAAAAGAAACAGGATGTCCATTGACGTTCATGAAAACACAAGTCTAGACGTCGATGCCCTCTGATCACAAGTCCCCTTTTCCATAAAAACCCACTGAACCAGTATTACACAGTATGAAACGGATGCTGAATGTCAACATGCAAACATGCAACACGTTTATATTGCGACACGTCCATGTTGACATGCATTATTTTAACACCCTCGTTTCTACCATCTGTGCTGTTCATGCAAATTTTGCATGGTTATAATGTTTTCATTTTTCCTATTGTAACCATATGTAGCCTAAGATATACACGCGTCGCTTACCTTTAAACTGTAAGGAGTGGCTTGTTTTAATTCTCACAGTTCCTGATATGGATTCGCCGGGGTTGTAGACCACTTTGCTATTAGTGAAAGTAATCTCGAATTCCTGAAGCTTCCCCATGTCTTTCAGAACCACCACTCACACACTCACGGAGGACAAGATCGTCGGTAAAACTACGGGTGAAAGCGTCCAGCTTCACGTCCCACCTGCGGCTCGCATCTCTCCGCCCATCCACGAGGGGCTGACGTCATCGGGATTGTCAGTCAGGCTCCCCCTGTTCTTTATGATCCTCAAGGTTGTTTCAAATAATCGTCTAATAGCCTATAATGTATTTAATATTTTTGATGCTGATGAACTTTCTAGAAAATTGCCACGAAAACCCAAATCATTATCATCCCAAAATATTTTAACAAGTCAAAAACAAATGTCTGTGATGATAACAGTTTTCATACATTTTTTTGGGGGAAAAAAAGTTTACATAGGCTAATTTTCAACAGCAGAAATTGTATTTAATTACTAGTATTGATAAACATGTTCAGTGTTCAAGTTAAAAAATACACCTAGGCCTAAAATATATGATCAATAAGTTATGACAACAAATGTTTTTACGTTGCTTTAACTCATCAAATTAAATTAAGCAATTTTTTAACTTTTTTATAAGTTATACAAGATTCAACATGTTTTAAGTCGTACCTTAATCCTCTTCGTCCGGTGTGAGACATAAGCCCGCCTTTTTTAAGTCAGTTTAATGTAATTTAAGTTGAAATGACTTAAACATCTACATTGATTGTAGGCTACTTAAAAATTTAAGGCAGCAACTTCTTGCATAAGGGTGAGCAATTTCCCCCAATAATGCGGATGAAAACTGAGTTAAGTGAAATACCGTCAATAACAGATTGTCTCAATATAACCCTCTCACAACCCAAATTAATATCTTAAATCAAAACTACTTTAAAAATAAGCAGATTTTATGAGAAATAATATTCAGTAAAATCATTATTCTGTAAAAGATTATTCCAAAATATATTTTAAGAACTTTTAATGAGACTTTCTTGTTTACACACTCCGAAGTTACACCAAGCTCCACTGACATAAAAATAATAATTCAGATATTGAAAGCATGCTCATTATAAAATATGTGTATCCAAGAAATTTTTTGATCTCTGTTGTAATTCTTATGCATTTTTGAGTAGCTAAATTGAGCTTGACAAACAAAAAATGAGTGTCACATCATTGACCCACATACTGCTGTGATGTAAATGTGCAACCAGCACCACGCTCAGCTTTCTCCATAACCAACAAGTAGCCTATCAGCAGAACACAGCAGAAATCCATAGTGACACAAGCGTTGATAAAACTGAACAGACATCCCTTCATGTCATTGTTCTGGGAATAATAAATTCACCTCATGACGGGGACTGGACTGAACACACTCCTGCGCTCCACACATCACTCATCTGCTGAAAATAGAAGCCACTTTAAATCCATCTCCCGTGCTTGCAGACATCAGCATTTAGTCTTGTTCTGAGAGGTATGCTTTGTGCAGTCCAGATTCAATTAGGGCTAATGGAGAAAAATAGCAATTTTATTAAATCCATTCGAATGCATGAGTTTTAAAACAATTATGTCAAATTGGCATTTGTTCGAAATACAAGATAAGAGGTAGAAAGTCCAACCCACATCAGCATAAGATTTATTGTAGGGCCTATAGCAAGCAACATGCATTACCGCCATCTACATCTATTGCCTAAGTTACATAAAGTATTAACTGTTATAAAATATGAAACAGTAATTTTAGTTTTAGAAGTTAGTGCTTTAAACAAACAAATCGTCAAAATTGAATAAGGGAACATATATAACAAGTATCCTATTAATATAATTTGCCAATTTTATTCTGAGGTAGGGCTACATATTATCTTGTTTAATGGATGTTAAGACATTTTTACTGAAAAAACATAAACACTGAGATATTGATTAACAGAGCTGCGTTATTAAAACATTTGAATAAAAATGTTTTCTTCTTTTTGAATCTTTTCCACAAAACAGGTGATTACAAAAACTTGCCAATTACGCCCTCTTATGGACAGCCAAAAGAACAGCAATCACACCAAGCAAGGGACATTTGTGTGCATGTCTCAAAGATTTGAGATAATGGATAACACTTTACAATAATCTCCCATAGTTAACTTGAGTTAATGCAATGAGCTATACATTTTTTTGTGTGTATTTATTCATCTTTGTTAACGTTTGTTAATAAAAATTCAACTGTTCGGTTCATGTTAGCTCAGTTCTATTAAATAATATTAACAGACATCTTTTGATTTTAATAATGTTTTTGTAAATGTTGAAAATTATCAAATGCTTTAGAAGTATATTTTTCATTGTTAGTTCATGTTAACTAATGTAGTTAGCTAATTTATGAAACTTTTGTATAGGCTAACTATTGCAAGTGTTGCCAGATAATGTTTTATTATGGTCATCAGTGATAGAATTCAAGCCAAGTTTTGGAAAATTTATTGTTTTATTTTATTGATCTTTATTTTATTGATTTTTATTGAAATTCTTAAATGTAAAGAATTAAGATAAGTATATGCAATATTAAATGAGTATTCATTCTAACATTGTAAAAAATCTTTATTTATTGTTTTCAAAATTCCATTTCAATTCTTCCTCCTCTTCCAGCAAGCATGTGCGCACCATTGCGCAGGTCACGGCATATGGGTCACAGTTAGCGGCAGGACGGCGGTCCTCAAAATAAACACATTTTTTCTGAGCCACATGTAGGGGGATACGGACACTCGCCCCGCGGTCAGCAACACCTGCTGAGAAATTACTGATGCTGGCGGTCTCGTGATGACCCGTGAGGCGACGCTTGTTATCTTCTCCACCGTGTGCATCGTAGACTCGAATATGCTCTGCATGTCGCTTACTCAGTTTCTCGATGGCTTTCTCAATCTGCCTGATGAGAGGAGGACGATGGAGGTTAGATGACATGGCAATAACACTGTGACACAACTCACACTTTTATATTTGTCTTTAGTCCTCTAGATTTTGCGTGTGTGTGTGCATAAGTGAGTACGTACTCGATTCCTCCTTCTTCTCTCATTTGCACTGTGCTCACATTGATGTGGCAACCGGCTCCGTTCCAGTCTCCTGTCATGGGTTTTGGATCCAGGGTGGCCACCACTCCGAAATCTTCACACACCCTGTGTAGCAGGAAACGTGCCATCCACAGATGATCTCCCATCTCAATTCCTTCACATGGACCCACCTGGAACTCCCACTGCAGAGAGAGTAATCCTCACTGGCCATCCAGTAGATAGATATACATAATAGAGATCTACATATGTTGTGTTTTTGTAAATAAATAGTGTCTACTGTATCTCTACCTAATAACTTCATGGTAGTTAGTTACCTGAGAGGGCATGGCCTCTGCGTTAGTGCCACCGATTTTGATGCCAGCATAAAGACAGGCTTTATAATGACAATCCGCAATGTCTCTGCCAAAGGCTCTGTCAGCACCAACACTGCAGTAATACAGACCTGACAAAATAAAAAATTCTTATGATTAAGAAAAAATGATAGACAGGTTAAGTTGTAGGCCTTACAGGACATAAGCCATAAAATACTTTGATACATACTAGTAAAACTTAACCAATATCTGTCCCTCAGCATCTTAAAGGGGTCCTATAATGCCCTTTTCACAAGATGTAAAATAAGTCTCATTCACAAGATGTCCCCAGAGTGTGTATGTGAAGTTTTAGCTCAAAATACCCCACAGATATTTTTTTATATCATGTTAAAAATGTCACTTTTTGAGGGCGGGCAAAAACGTTCAGTTTTTATGTGTATCCCTTTAAATGCAAATGAGCATTTGCTTCCATAGAGTGTGTTAGCATCTTCGATTACCTCACAGACACACACAGAAAATTAAAAAAAACTTTTAGCCTTTTATGTTCAAACCGGAGGCGGACAAAGATGAAGAGACTCAAGAAGATGTCACAACATGTAGAATGCAACAGCATTTATGTAGCTGATGTGGAATTAACTTCTAGTCATTGATTATCATATTCTATCATGATAATCTATAAATCACGTTCCCGGGGGCGGGGTTTATACATTTTAGAAGCTCAGCCGTTTGTTGTAGTCCTTAAAAAGGAGTTTCTGTAAAAGAGAATATCTCCCTTTGCTTTAAACTTTGAGCGTCGTAACTTTGCAGATGTTGTTTATGCTCAAACAGCAGCAATACACACTAACTAAAGTGAAAAAAAGTGAAATCATAATCAATTGTCAAATCAAATAATCAAATTTCTTTTGCCAAATCTGGCAATTAAATTCATTTTTAAAGGGATACTCCACCCAAAAATGAAAATTCTGTCATAATTTACTCACCTTCGAGTTGTTGCAAACCTGTATGAGTTTCTTTCTTCTGCTGAACACAAAGGAAGATATTTTAAAGAACGATTGGAACTTTGGCACCATTGACTTCCATAGTATTTTTTTTTTCTACTGTGGAAGTCAATGGTGCCAAACAACTGTTTGGTTCCAATCGTTCTTCAAAGTATCTTCCTTTGTGTTCAGAAGAAGAAAGAAACTCATACAGGGGTGCGTTTCCCGAAAGCATCGTTAGCCAACTATGGTCGCAAGTTCCGTCGTTACCAATAGAGTTCAATGGAAATTGTGTTTATAGTTGGATAACGATGCATTCGGGAAACGCACTCCAGGTTTGCAACAACTTGAGGGTGAGTAAATGATGACAGAATTTTCATTTTTGGGTGGAGTATCCCTTTAAAAGTAATAAAAAACATGTGCACACAACGATACAGTGTGTTAAGATGTTTTTTGAATGGTGTGTTCAATAGCAAAATTTTCATTGTTTGTCTGCTTTGTAAGCAGGTTGTGTTTGTGACTTATTTGATGATCAGATCACATTTTATGGCAAATTTATACAGAAATCCATGATAAAACCAAACATTCTATTTCCTTATTCCAACTAACTCTTCCATATAATTTTAGGTTCTACGGCTTTGCGATGCTTTATGACAGAATATTAAAGCTGAATTAAACAAACTTGACTGGAGCAAACATACAGGGCTTGACATTAACACCCGCCAACCCACTAAATGCGAGCAATGGCTGACGCAGTCACTCATACTAGCAACTTTGGCGGGTTGAAAATATAATATATACATATGTACATTTTTGTCAAAAATATCGATTTCTCA